CCCCAAAACCCCAAAACCCCAAAACCCCAAAACCCCTTTTTTCACAAATTGTATTGAATATTCCTTAGTCATAGATCTTTATTCAATTAATTGGAAAGTTTTCTTCTCTTGGTCATACGCATGAGTGTGAGAGCTCCCAAAGGCAATGATCTCTTTAGTGGTAGCATTTCTAGAGACTGCTCCATTGGACACGAAAACGTCACCCTTCTTCATATCTCCTGACTCTTCGATGCCATACTCCCCATCTTTTGAGGTTTGTCTTACTATTGTTGAGTTGGTGAGCAGGTCTTTGTTCCAACCCCCGAAGATTACAAAGGCTCTATGCCCTAAACTTATAGCTCCTGGACTTGTCGTCTTGAATGGCAAAGAAATGTTTAAAGCTTTCCATTTAGCATCCTTCTCAGTTAGATCTAAAGTTTCTATACTTTTCAACGAAGGGAATCTTGTTGGATCAGAGGCTCCATTATCTACTCCACCAAAACAATATAAGTCAGTGTTCTCACAAACAATCAGTGAGGATGAGAACCTTGCCTGGATCATTGATGGAAGAGGAGACCATTTCTTCTTGGAAATATTAAAGCATTCACATTCATCAGTAGCCCTGTTTTCACCAGTAGATCCTCCTGCAATATATATATTCTTAGCATCTGGAGATAGTGTTGCTGCAAAGGAAAGTTTAGCCTTAGGCAAACTATCAACTTTTGTGGTTGCCTTTTTGCTTAAGTTTACTTCAAAGCAGTGATTAACAGCTGATTTACCTTCAATATCCTTTGCTCCTCCCATAAGAAAGACTCTACTTGATTTTCCAGAAGGAACAGTCATCACTTTCTGGAGGTGAAGTTTGAGGTCCATGATCTGAGTCTCAACTACTTTCCCTTCTTCAAGACATCTCTTATACAGAGTGCCTTCCTTGTTGCTGTATATCTCTGTCATCTCTTCAGCCTTCCAATTGCCATCCTTGCGCTCTGTAGCACTAAACTCGACTTCGTGCTTGATGGCTCCATTGCCTTCCTTGGTCTCTTCTTTACTCTGGTTGAGGATATCAGTGTGTCTGGCTCTCCTCTCAAGATCTTCCAGATTAGTAAAATCTGGGTGTTTCTTATCAATCTTCATCGATTTGCTAATGAGCTCATTCAAAGTGGTCTGGATGAGAGAGTCTTCATGACCATGGGTTAGCTCAAAGATAGTCCTGATCATCTTGTCTGCCTCTTCAACAGAATCGGAAAGCTTTTGGTTGTCAGAGGAAATCTGTTCAATAACATCATCATAATGCTGCTTTCTCTGACAGATATAGGTATATCTTGTCTCTGAGATCTTATTATCAAGGTGGTTTGCCTCTGAATCAAATTTTTCTGCAACGCAATTATGGTCCATGTAGTGGTGAGTATCATTGAGGATAGAGAATAATCTGTTCAAATTCTTGGAGTTCTCAACCTTAGCGACTACTTTTTCTTCCAATTCATCACATTTGTCTCTGATTGCATCAAAGAAGGTTGTAATAGATCCTTGAATTTCGTTCCTTACCTCTCTTGGGTTGAGAGAAGTTAGTTTCTCACAGAGCTCTTCAAAGATGCCAAACTCCTGATCGAATCTTTTCTTGATCTGATTAGCCACAGTGGCTGTGAAGACGGGCTTTCTCACGTTTCCGTGATAGATACATTTTTCACAAAGAGTGGTTCCATCATCTTCTTCATATGCAATAATAGGATGCCCATACTTTGGACAAATTTCATCTTCTTCTCTTCTTTCCATCTCTTCCTTAGTGGTGAATCTTGGGGGAGACTTATTAACCTTCAGGAAGGATTTTGTCAAATACTCAATCTTGCTACTTTTAATTCCTGGCTCTTTATCAGGAGTTTGCTCAACTCTCCTAGCACTTCTTGCGCTTCTATACCTGTGTTTAGTAGTATCCATTTATTCAGAAAATTTTAATTAATCGCGGATTTTTCAGCACTCAATAAATGCAGCTTCCTAAGGGGTTTTGGGGTTTTGGGGTTTTGGGGTTTTGGGGTTTTGGGG